AACTCCGTAAATCAATAAAGTGTGGCCATCCATTTATCCATCCATCGCAAAGTACTTACTCTCCGTAATTTGATAAGAATAAATGTTACATGTCGTTCGATAAGAGAGCAACAAAATGTGTGACTTTGTTGCCTTGTGCGAATCGTTTCTCACAGAAGAAAAAAAAAACACCGGGACATTCCTCATAGCATGACTGGAAAACAAGAGCACAGAGGTTCTTATTGGTTTGTGTCCATGTGAGGAGGAGGTGCAGAAATCTGCCGAAGCTTGGACATGAAGGAAGGAGGAGACATTACAGGGTTGCGCAAGGATAGAGAGGTCGACAACAAGGTAATGAATGATATACGGAGGGAAAGTGAAGCACAGAAGCTGGCAAGCATCTGTGGCAGCCCCCAGATCTCACAGAAGATCGTGAGTGTGCATCTGTGAGAGTGTGCATCCATTCCTTTTCCCGCCCAGTCTTTTGGGGACCAGAGCTTTAAGTGAAGAACAGATGTCTCTCCTCATGTGGGGGTATACATAGAAAGGAGGAACCTTGAGGGGCTCCCCATCAACATGATGCAACGACTGAGACACATTCCATTTTCTGTTCCCAGTCTTCCTGACCAACACTACAGAGTTCGATGGCATGATACTGTTTTTGTATGGTTCGATGCCAAAGGCAGCAGAGTCTTCACCTCAGGCGTGAGCAAACAAGATGCTGACACTGGAAGAGATTTCAGAGATTTAGAAACACTGTGTCCATGTGGTTTGTTCTCCCACCAGAGTATGGGAGCAAAAGGAGGCGTCGGCCAGGCCACAGAATTTGGAGGGATGGAAACACAGTATATCTGTGGTGAAGTCAGCAACAGCAAAAACATGCCATACATTCTGAATCAATGCTGCTGTTAAATGTCAGGAGCTGGCAGTTCTACACATGAAGAGATGACAAAACCTTAGAGCAACAACACGGCGACAACAGACAACTGGTTTTGAAGTCAAACTCCTGTTTGGTTTACATGCATTTAACAGACACATTTATCCAAAACAACCTATAGGAGGAGGATTAAGTATATATGGGTCAACTGGGCACTTGAACCCTCGACCTTCTGCTTATAAGGCAGACGTATAAAAAGGGGTGACCACCACTATAATATGGAACCATATTTACATACATATATATACGTATAGATACATAAAATGTTTTTATTAAATTTCTGGAAATAATTTCATATCATCATATCATTTTTATGAACCAACACTATGTGGAATATAAAAGGAAGTCTCTAGTGTGAAAGTGTAGCTACATTCACAAATGAGCTGGTATGTTATGAGACCACACTCTTAACCATAGCTAAGCTGTTTTGATAACTGTGGCTGTCCAGACACTGTAAGAAAGAAAGGAGCCATTCTAATAAACCTGAATAGAAAATGTTTAAAAGCTGGAGCTTTAAAATATGGATACACTAAACTAGCCAACTTTAGACCATATCACGAATAGAAAACAAAAAAAAGAACTACTGTATATTATATTTGAAAGCCGTTACATTTTATAATGTATGTTTTTTATTCAAAGCAATGAATCAACCATATAGAGTGTGTTTCCTATTTCCTTAACGTGATGTTTTCTGTTGACAGACAGCTCCAAGCCCCTCCCACAAAGATCTATTTCCATGGCTGGTAAACTGAGACAAGTGCCAGTCATATCTGAGGTTGGCGCCAGAAGACACATGGAAAGGAAAAGAAAGATGGGACCGATGTGGACTCATGGAATGATGGAAACAGGGCGCAACCACACAAGATGTGTTTTCCATGATTATAGTTGGATGAAGAGCCCGACAGAGTGTGGTTCAGAATATGAGCTGTGTTTATAATCTGAGGAACATCTTTAATGGCGGAATTGCAGAAAAAAAATGGCTGTTTTACTTAAAAAATGTCAAAACTAAAACCTCAATATCAAACCTAAGCTTCCTAATGGAACTTGCCCTTTGGCTAAAACTTTAAGGGGGATTTTGCCAATCTGAAAACAACGTGAGAGAATTTGGAAATAGGTAACTTTCCTTTCTTGGATTTCTAAATCCAACCATTTTGAAACAGCAGCTGAAGTTTGCTTCACACTCACATAAGGGCAAAAACAAATGGTGGTACAAGGCTCAAGGTTGTGATTCACTTGAAGAGAATACAGGTAATCTAGTAATTCTGCACTGTACAAATGAAGTCAGTCAGCAGAGCTGCCGTTACTGAAAACAGCAAAGCTGCTCAGAAAGCTGATTAACCTGTTACATCCTGAGCTCAGCTTCAGCCCTCGGCTTTAACTAAGATTGAATTATGCCCTTTAATAAGCCACGGATGACCTTGTGACTTCTGGAAGTAAACATCTTAGAAATCCGTTAGCTGCAGAAAAAAAAACACCTGATGTTGTTTCCTCGTTTTTCTTATTTATCAATAAAGTTCCTGAATGAGAAAATTGTTTGGACTTTCACCTGATTCTGTTTTGGTGGGTTACTGGTGTAATTGGAAGTAATGCCAGGAAAACCCTGTGTTTTTGGTTTTAATGAACTACTCATTGGAGAAGTTAACCCGTCTTTTACTGATTTTAATTTAGACAGTTAAGACAGACAGAGTTGTGGCTGCTGATGCCTTAAAATAAAGGACGAACAGGACTTGACCAATAACATGATAGTTTAGTTTTCGTTTCCACGATGAATTCTAGTGTGAATAAATAATATACGATCAAACCCATCACTTTCTCCGTTTCTCCGAAATTCTTACAATCCTTGTCATTCCAGCAATATTTCAACAAACAGACTTTTAAAAGCCTTGAAGTCCATTGTGTGAAACTGAGATACATTTAATCAAGATTTTGTTTAAACTACATGGAAATCAGGGAGTTGAAATAGTTCAGATGCATTCAATTCACGCCTTTATGATGAGACAACAGGGGGCAGTGAATTAAACAGCTGAGAAGCAGACACAGCCAAGTGAATGAGAAAGAACTCTTGGTTCCGCCCACACTCTGGTGACGATCTGAAGCCAGCTGGCCTCATCAAAGTGTCCATTCATTGGGTGTACAGGAAGTAGGAGATCACAATCCAAAACAAGACTTTCTTTAACAAAAATGTACGTCACTCTTCTCTAATCCCTCATCAGTCTTCAAACACACGTCTCCCAAGTTCTGACTCTCATCTGAAGAGTAAACTTTTCTTGGCTTAACATTAATGTGAATCTAGATAACTGTGAGCTAAATGCTATGTTAATTTCCCAGCACAAATCATGGTAATCATGATGAATATACGATCTATATAATTTGATCATTAAATTAATGAAATAAAACTATTTTAAAAATTCCACAGATGTAAGGTCAAGAGGAATCAAGAGACTGAGGCTAAATCTTTTACAAAACTTCTTATCTGTGGCACAAATCAGAAAAAAAACTTCAGTTTTTGCCAAAAAAAAACAAAAAAAAACAGAATTTGGACTGTGGTGCAATGGAAAGGGGGTTTGGGGTGTGGAAAGTCCAGATTTAGTTTGTTCTAAAGAGATGACTGCATCGCAATATTAGATCAGTGTTTTCAACTGAGGATTCTTTTGCCATTGACATAAAAAAAGGCCAGGTGACCACCAAATATACTGAATGACCAGGTTTTTCTATTATCTATTTTTTTTTCTTTTCCAATGGCTGCACAGATATTCCAATATGACAATAACAGGATTTACAGTGGTTGAGGGAAAACAAGTCAGTATTTTTGCACATGGATTTCCCACCAGCAGAGTCCAGACCTCACTCCTGTTTAGAATCGTTGGTGTAGTCTGGAGAAGAGTTTCCACAGATGTCTAGCTCTCAAATATTTGGCCCAATTTCTTCAAATGACCAAAAAAAATAAATTCTAGTCTTAGACTCTGGCCTGGAGCATGGGCTGTGGGAGGAAACTGAATTAGCCAGAAAAAACCCACACACACAATCAGAGAACATGTGAACTTCATGCAGAAAATTCGGTTGAACCAGTGATCTTCCTGTAAAGGCGAGCGTTCTAACAACATTTGCCACCGTGTTGCCCATTCACTCGCTCCATTGTTAAAAAATATGTGCATGTACAGCAGAACATCACTCCGAACCTGTCAGAGACCATTACAATACAGTAGTGTAATGCTCTAAAACATGTGTCAAACTCAAGGGGCATGGGCCAAATATGGCCCACCAAGTCATTTTGTGTGGCCCACAACAGCTTAAAAAGTGTTTAATGGCCTTATAAAGTCCATGGTGCTAAGTTTCTTAACTTGATAGATTTTTTTTTATTACACAGAGCAATGTACAATATATGTTACTTGTATAAATAATAATCAATTGCAGAAACATGTATTAATACGTTATGGAGTAGTTACAGCTTTACAGCCTAGCAGTTACAACCGGCCCTTCAAGAGAGTTGTATTGCTGATGTGGCTCCCCGCCTAAAATCAGTTTGACACACCTGCTCCAAAACAACAGGAGTGAAGTCAGGGTTCAGTCTGTAAATGTGTCACAAAGACAGAAGCAGAGGAAAAAAAATTCATGTGGAGTCTGGTTCCATGTTTCCAATTCAGGTCTTTCCCCTATTTATTTGCCAGCATATGGGGGAGGGGTTCACTGATCTGAGCCTTTCTTCCACTCAAGGAAAAAAAGTGTCTGTGCAGCCTAGGTTCACCACATTAATAAATTTATTGATAAGACTGGAATCTGGATGAAAGCGTTGCATAGTTGAACATCATAAAAACCAAAGGATTTGGGTTGGGCTTTAGCCGCTTTTGTGCGACTGAGAATCGGTGGGGGTTCAAATGTGATTGTTTTTTGTTAGCCTGCCCTCACTTGATAGACGAGCTATACAGGTATTTTGTTTTCTCATGTGTATATACCTGACAGGCATTTTTGGGTTTAGGTGCAGGGTTCACCTTGGTATGCGTTACTATTTGTTAAGCTCACAAATGACAAGGCACTGAGCCAGTTCCTGTTACATCTGAGTCAAATCTGTTGTAGATACACTTACCACCACGTGATGGAAGAGCAGCTCCCAGGACTGACTCAGCTTCTGGTACAGTATCATGTCAAAGAAATCATGGATGAAGTAACCTGTGGACAGGAGCAGAGAAATGGGCAAAGGTCAATTTCAGGGTTAAACTGTGCAATTCATTATATCAACTGAAACAAAACCAGACTCCTTTGACGAGTGCGAGTGTGTCAGGGAGGACCCCTGCTACCATGACGACAGTGATCGCTACCAAGATGCGTCCTGGAGAGGGTCTATTCATATCCGACACCCCCTTCTCTTTTCCCAGCACTGCTGTATCCATGGTGATAGCTCCTCTGAATGCAGGAAAAATAATGAACTGTTGCCAATGGAAAAGGAAGGGGTTCACGGTAGTAGTTGGGGGTGCTGGGGGTTGGCTTTGGTGAGGCAGGAATTAACCCAATCATGTTAGTTATTTGACACCAGGAACCTTCTGTTGATTTTGTAACATGTTTGAGTTTGTTGAACCTCTAACAAGAAGCAACAGATCAAGTAATTACTTGCACGCTCCTATTAGGCTTTTAATTGGTTCATTAGCATAAAGTGTTCTTCCTAACAATAAGTGTTGTTGTGGGAGGGGAGTTGGGGGTTGATGGGCAAAGGGAGGTTCTACTCCACATAGTCCTAACATCAATAGTCCTTATCTACAATAGGTCAACTTCAGGTCCATTCTTTGCCTAATGAAGGAAGGTCATCTGTCAAAGGAGAAACAAAGGCGGCCGTGGCTGTATCTGCCTTTAAACAGCAAAAATTTGATTGATCAGGTCCATTCTTTGCCTAATGAAGGAAGGTCATCTGTCAAAGGAGAAACAAAGGCGGCCGTGGCTGTATCTGCCTTTAAACAGCAAAAATTTGCCTGATTTTTATTTGTAAACTGCTTACTTCTATTCTAGCTTCAGAATATTTAGCTTCTAAAAGAACAGCAACCAGCATCATAGGGTTAGCTAAAGGCTAAAGTCACCCCTGTGATTGTGATAATCATGCACAGATAGTGTGGAACACCAAGGTTATGTTCAGTTCCAACTTGTTTTCTCATCTTCATGGTAGTGGCCCTGAAGGTGACATGCACAGACATCGTTCCGAGAGACAGACCAAGCCATAACCGATATGTTTGCTTGTGTCACTCCACCTTCCTGTTAAGTGAGTCTCAAGGCTATGTTTACATGAACGGGGAGTTCCTTTCTAAAAACCTGTCGGACTAACAATCAGGTTTTTTGACTGATACATACCAACATCGTGACTCCAACAGAACAACCTGCTCATGAACAAGAACTCTGTTTAAGGCTCTTGGATGATAACGATAACTTTTATTATTTCTTCATTTAACCAGATTAAGTCTTACTGAGATTTAAACCCTCCTTTTTTAGAAGATAACTGGCCAAGACAAAACCTTACAATGACAAACAATAAATGACACACACACTACAATAGGGACGGCACACACGAAGATACTTTGAGCGATTCAAAATATTTAAAGGATGGAAGAAACGTGACATGATTTCTGTGATGACAGTTGAAAATGTTAATAGCATTATGGCTTCTACAAACATGCTGAGTCAACAAACTGTGTGCAGAAACATTACCATTAAAAACGTGGTTTACCTCGCTAATGGGTCAAACAGGCAGAGCAGGCGATGACTGAGTGAAGCCACAGTGCACAAAATGCAGTCTATTTAAGGCACATAAAGTACAACTTAACACACTTTAAACAGTCACCATATTTGGTTGCTTCTGTCATAGTTAACGGGCATGGATGGCATGTCACTGGGAGGTGGTAAAACAGCATGAATGCACAGCTTTTTACTGCATGTGCAGAACTTCTCTCCGAACTAGCGGAGGGCTCTGAGGAGTCAGGCCACACTGATGGTGGGAGGATTTGGAGAAGAGCTCCAAACATCAGTGTACAGATGACTCCCACTTTCACTTTGTTCAAGAGCTTCTGATGCAGACGGCTCGCAGAGATCAACTGCTGTTTTTGTTCTGTTGCTGGTGTGGTGAGGTCACATGACCGTCCGAGGTTACACCCAGTGCCTTGGACGGATCATAATACCCCCCATTGAATTTCACACACTGACAATACTCGCTTTCGCCAGCTTCCAGGGCTGGGTTTCCTGAAGGAATGTCAAACATCTTGGGAATCCTCAAGGAGAAACTTGTTGGGCAACGAGGATCCAGTATATTTTATGGGTTTAAACAGCATCACCAACTGCCTGAAGCTCTTGAATATTTAAGGTAATGACTAGGTGTTCAGACAGAAGATGAGGACACGGCAAGCTAGCACCACGTCAAAGATGTTGGAAAGTCTTTTGATAGTAACAGTCAAACAGTTCAACAGTAATAATAGCTACAAGATTTCAGCTTGTAAAACTTTTTGTATTTTTTTATGCTAAAAAATATTTAATCAACAAAATATATTTTTTTAACCTTTGTTTGAACTTGAGAAATGAACGTTAGTAGAAGGTACATGAACAGCAGGTCATTTATATGGAGGCAGCCATGTTGAATCCCAATTTCTAAATATCTGTTGTTTTTTTTAACTGCAATAAATAACATTCTAATAACAAATCTTCACGAACAAGTCAGCTTTTAACTTAATTCATTTTACACATGGTCACTGCTAAAAACTAAAAATGCTGAAAACATCAGACTGGTCCCAAGTTTATGTAAACAATAACTCAAACAACCACCACGTGGGAGAAGCACTTTTTTCAAGACAACCGGTAATCTTACGTAGTGTGTAATTCAACACTGGACACTGTGGAGGTGCTTTTACTCACCGATTGAAAAGGACACCAAGGCATGAGAGAACACTGAGTGGGTTTCTATCAAATCTTCAGCCATCTCTGGGTGAAGGAAGAAGCTACAAAACACACAGATAAAGTCTCTAAAGATAAAGATTAAGAAGAATAAGATTTAGACCAGTGGTTCTCAAACTTTTGAAACTCTGTACCACCTGAGAAAACACTGCGCTCTCTGAGTACCACCATGATGACCAACATTAGAATATAGCAGCATAGACCTTCCCTATTGGCTTCCACCACACAGGAGAGATTTTAAATGTTTATAAAGATGTTTATGTTTAAATGTTGTATTAATTGTGCATGGTATGTTTCAGATTTATTAAATTGAAAATGCAAAATGTGAAAATATGAATTTTCCCTGTGTACCACTAGAGAGCGCTCGCGTACCACAGGTGGTGCGTGTACCACAGTTTGAGAACCACTGATTTAGCCCAACTTTTTTTTTAAAAATGGTGACAGAAAAAGACTAATTTTTTTCTTGCAAACCAATATAGTTCAAAAATCAGTAGATTCAGGTGTTTCTTGAAACAATCTCCCTGAAACTAGGTGATCCATCCAGTTATTACATCATTATCTATGAATACATCCTCAATATAGAGATCGAAAATTGAATAATCAATAAAGACAAACTAAATTTGTTGCGTCTAGAAAAATATTTAATTAAAATATAAACTAAGCTGTATTAACTTAAAATTGATGTTTAAACTCACCACAGCACGCCCCATATGGCTGTGATGAAACTGTGGACAAACGATGTGGAGATGTTGTTCCACTTCCACGCGTTCCTGTGGGCAGACTCGGGCAGGGGCAGCGTGTTGAGTCCAGCATTGAGCAGCTTGAAGAAGCTCGCAGAACCCGCGGTGGTGAGGACCACAGAGCTCAGATCCATGTCTGGGGTTTGTTGAGTGTTGAGGGAGCAGTCGGAGAACCTGAGGAGGCAGCAGGAGCAGCAGGAGTACGGTCCAGATAGACGACGTTATAAACGCTCTGCTGTTCTCCGGAACATGAACGTCCTCCCGCCACTCTGAAGCTGAGCTCTGAAGGAAAATGTTATTTTCTTTCTTGTCCACAAAAGAAACCGTGTTAAAACAAAATGTCTGTGAGGATTTTATTTGAATCCACAGGTGACGGTCAGACAGTGCAGCGCCGTAGTGTGACCGTCTTCTCCTTCAGCACCAGCGTTACTTTGCTTGTGTAACTTTTTGACATCAACAGAAGCCAAACAACAGCGTCCACCCGCCCTACTACAAGGGGCGTGGCCAAGAGCACGTTACATGTGTTTATTTGACGTTCAAGTGTCGTCGGTAATTTAGCAATTCTCCTTTGCTTTTACAAAAATGCTTTTTAAATAGACAGACATCGTCGCATTTAGAAGAAATTAGGTGATAGGAATTTAAAAAACAAAACAAATCAATGTATGTGTTTATGTGATATCTATATTAACTGTATACTAATTGCATATGTTAATGATATACCAAGTGCATTAAAACAAACAATTTTACTCTAAAGCAGGTGAAAACACCATGATTGATCCCAGATTTAGGGCATATTTGAATTCGAATAAATTAACAAGTTTCTTCTAAAAAAAGATATAACATTATAAATGTGGTGGACAGGTTATCGGTCATGCAGAATAAACAGTAATGGACGAAGGTATTGGCATCCCTGGAACTTCTGGAACAGAAAACGAACCGTTTAGATTTCAATCAGTGTTGCAATTACAAATGTTTTGGTTTATAGTACACATGTTTATTTCCTTTAAGTACATTGGAACAACACACAAAAAAAACACAAGACAAATGCCAAATTTGACATCATTTTACACAAAACTCTAAAAAGTGACAAAACAAGACAAAACCATTGGCACCATATTAAAACTGTCAGTAGATAATTTCATTTCAATCATGTGATCTTCACTTAAACCTTCACCTTTGGCAAGTAACAGGAGCTGGAAATGTATAAATCCAAATTAAAGCCAGATAAAGATGTACTATTGACGACACAGTCTTTGTGTTGTGTGCCTGTGTGTTCAACACTAAGCATGGAAAAGAAAGAAAGAAGAGCAAAGAATTGTCAATCTCAAGGTTACAAGTCAACATCCATAGATCTGCCTTTGTCAATTGTGCACAATATAATCAAGAAGTTTAAAACCCATGGAACTGTAGCAAATCTCCCTGGACATGGACGGAAGAGAAAAGAACTGATGAAAGGCTACAATGGTGTCAGCTTAAGCAAGTACCTGCAGTCAAATGCGGTGGAGGTTTGAAGATGTTTTGGGGTTGTTTTGCTGCCTCTGGAGCTAGGTGCACTGATTGTGTGCAAGGAGTCATGGAATCTGAAAAGATTTTGGCCTGTCATGTAGGGCTGAGTGTCAAAAAGCTTGGCCTGGGTCAGAGGTCATGGGTGTTCCAGTAGGACAATTTTTCCAAAGGTTGTGCAATCAAATATTGAGTCAGGGGTGCCAATGATTTTGTCCGACCCAATTTTTGAGTTTTGTGTAACATTATGTTAAATTTGGCTTTTTTTCCCTGCTTTTTGTGATGTTCCAATGAATGTAAAGGACATGAACATGTGTGTACCAAAACATTTGTAATGGAAACAATTTTCTGGGAGAAATGGTTCATGTTCTGGAAAGGTTCCACAAATGCCAATACTTCCGTCCATGTATCTTGTCTTAAAAATGTTAATGTATTTGTTTGTATATTTTAAAGTCATTTACCATTTGAAGATAATGACAATTAAAAACAGGCAATAGACGTAGACTTATACATACTGTTGTTTCAAAAGATATTCTGTTCGCAAAATGTGTTTATTATACAGACATTAAAATTTCAATGTCATAGTTTGAGGGTTATCGTTAAATATTTTTATGTATAACAAATGATTTAATCGATTAAAGAGTAAAAATCCTCCCTATCAGGTAAAAAAAGGCACTGCACTCCACCAGAACATCAATGTAACGGTGACATCTTGTGGTTAACATCTGATACACGTCCCTCCGTCTGTTACAAGATTTCTGCCAATATTGTTTTGTGAACCTTGTAAAAAAATACGTACGTGTGGTAAAAACACAAAACGGACGCAAAATCAACTGTTGTAACTACGCAGACAGAATAGTACCATCGCTGTAGTATGTAGTATTTATGTGGCTAACCATTAAGACAAATCGTGCATAACAAATTAAAATTTAAAGTAATTTATTTTGATGTAACAGTCTGCATAATTTCACACAAATGTAACCGGACGAATCTGAATTCGTGCATATTTTCTTGAACAAAATTCACATTGACTTCAATAGCAGACGTGACGTCATTCTTGTGGTAAGAATCACGTTGTTCATATCTTTAATGACCGTTGTGCGCAGAAAACTAGCAATACTTGTTCAAACGACTTCCCGTATGAATGTCTTTTCTCTAATTTAATTTTCAGTCATTCTAGATCACATGGTCAAGTTAGGTCGAATTTGGTTTAAAAGTAGGTTCCCTTAAAGTGACAGAAAAACACCGTGTCGCATTCACGTATTTAATTTATAACCAAAAACAGACTCGACGCATAAATACGTAACATCATAAATACGTTACAGATTATAGTTTTATATACTGTACACTATTTTATTTATGTTTAGCACCTTAAACGCATCAGTGACGGGTTTCCTCCCCACCGCGTTGACGTCAAATGGTGGGAGGAGCTTGAAGAGGAGTCGGCTGTCACTCACATCATAAATAACAAGCACACGAGACTGTCAAGCATCTTCTCTCCGTGTAACTGGTTGAAATTAAACAGGTGAGCAATGCTTTCGTGCGAATTTTTACTTACTTATCAATTTGTTATTTTTTGTGAATAAAATACTTTAAGCTCGTCTACTTATAAGTAGGCTATTGTAAAAACCATATGGATGTTACGGATGTTTCAACAGTAAAATGTTAAATACAAATTACTGAATTACTTTAAGACATTTAACGTAATGGTTTGTGGTATAGTATTAGTGGTATACTAAAGTCTATTACCTGATATTATATGTAAGAAATATCCTGCGCTTGGATGCAGAAATAGAAATAGAATAGACCAGTCGCCTGCCTCTGTGAGAGAGGGAAAAACTGCTTAGTATTTGGTTTGTATTGCACAATAACAGGTTCTGCAGTCACTGAAGGTGTCTTTATCAACAGAGTCATGGCAGTAAGCTACATGTCCTCAAGGTTTTGTCTTATTTGCATTGGAAACACTCAACAATAAGACAACAACAGATGCACACATGTAAACTCCCCAAGTGAAACCAGTGCAGGAAGTGGATTATACTGTACTTAACTAATACAATAAATGGTAGAACCTTCAAGGGGTTAATCAATAGACACAGTAAAGGACAACAGTATTCCATTAAAGGCAAACATGTTTTTTTTTGTTTTTGTTAATGAATCAGGCTATTGTCTGTGTCACGTCTCTTTGAATTAACGTTTTTTTTCTGCTTCATGAAATGCTGCCACAGCATGAGTCAGCGCAATCTACAACACGAGGAGCAGGAGGAGAAAGAGGAGGTGACTGGACTAGTGTGTCAAGAGGAGGACCTGAATGATGGACAGTCAGTCAAAACTTTTTTCTTTCAAGGAGACTTTTGCAAATGTTGAGGAAATAATTGTCCAAGACTAACTTTCAATTAAATCCAAAATAAGGGGAGTCAGGGTTAGAATGATTATGAAGGTCCCCTGCTGATAGGGGCCAAAAAATGTTAGAATATACATAACATATACATTGGTCATCTGAAGGGACAACATGAAACCATGGACAAACACTGCTTTGCTGGTTTTTCTGAGTAAATCTTTTATGTTTATGTCCCTTTTAAGTATAATTCCATATGGATTTCTACCACAAAAGACTTGAAACAAGGGCTGTGAGATCATAGGAAAATGAAGAAAAATGATCAGTTAGGTGATCAAATTCAGCCTGTGTTCTTTTCCGTGTATACAGTCTTTGGTTTTGTGGCACCACATTTTCATACAGTATATGTCAATGACAATTTAA